AATTTCTACATGCACAGTTCAGTGACATTGACTACGCTCTTCCAATTGTGCTGCTATTCTCATAAAGTGAGTTTTTGATTGAATAATTACTATAATATTTCATAAATATTAATATTAAAGAACAATAAGAACATCATCAATATGACGCATCTCGGACTAGAAAACAAATGTACATTTGTATCAATTTGTGCTACAATGTGTGTCCAGTCTTGTTAAGGTCTATACTATCATGTTCTTTGGTGTGTTGATAAACAAGAATGATAGCTAAAATAAGGACAATTCAGCTTGGAATGAGGGCTTTTATTTGAATCACTTATACACAAATAATTTCACTACTAATTTAACATTTCCATTTGTCATTTTTTTCTATTTTCTATTAGGCAGAGAGTCCCTGGGTGGCACAAACAGTTAAGCGCTTGACTACTAACCAAAAGGTTGGTGGATCGAACCCACCCAGAGGCACCTTGGAAGTCAGGCCTGGTAATCTGCTTCCAAAAGGTAGCACAGCCTTGAAAACCTTATGGAGCACAGTTCTATATGCATGGGATTACCATGAGCCAGAATTGACTGCATGGCAACCAGTAACTATAAAGCAGGAAATGATTGCAAAACATTTTAAGTGTTCTCGAGCCCAAAAGCAATGGATGCAATATGTTTAGGATAATGACTATAATATAGTTTTCTAAGGTTCCTTTATGTTGATCTTTGCCTAGAACAGAGAAAAATTAAGTGTACCAAGCCACCATCCAGAGTCTGGATTAGTGTTCAGAGAGTGAAGATTATATTTTCCTCCACAGAACCCAAGAGAATAATTTTAGGAGGTTTTAGTTGACTTGAACACTTGACTTATGTGGATGCTTAAACAATTCAAGATACCTGTTGGGCATCACTTCTGGTGTCTAAGTAAATTATAACAGTATCAACTTTCTATATTAAATTGAATGAAAGGGGCTGCATAATACAACTTATAAAAGACAGACTAATCAGGCTCTTTTTCCTCTCTCTAAAAAAAAAAAATACTCATTTTCTCTGTCATGTGATAATCTAGTGTTACTGAGAACATGCCTATGGCTACATTGCCTGGGACTGGAACTTAAGTCATGTCAATTTTGTATGGAGCCATTTTAACAAGTGCACAGTGGGACTCAATGGCTTTCTGAGTACTCATGTATTAGCCTTGGTGAATTGATTGACTCGAAGTTCTGTGCTATTTCATTGAATTTGTAATTCCATGTTGGGCCTTCTGACATTCCCCCAAACCTGGTCCCCAAGTTATCTTCTCTATTGGCAGCTGCATTCTTCTTGTTGTTCAGGTAAAAATCCTTTTCGTGATCTTTCATTTCATTCTTTATCTTACACCCAGTCCATCAGCAAATCTTCTCAGCTCTAATTTCAATACATTCCCAGAATCCACCCCTCCTCACTACCTCCATTGCTACCATCATCCTAGACTAAGCAATCATCATTTCTTGCTTGGATTATTGGCCTCTCACCTTGACTTTCTGTTCTGCCTTTGACAGGTGTGATCTCATTAGAACAGATCAGTTTCTGTTCACCCCTCTGCTTAAAATCCTTTGTAACAATTTCCAACATGCACTCACAGTAAAAGATTAATCATTGCAATGCTCTATGAAGTCCTGCAGGTTCTGACCCCTTGCTATCACTCAGACATCATCGTCCGTGTGCCTCTTCCTCACTCTGCTATGGTCACAATGGCCTCTTTGCTGTTCCTTAACCACATCGGCTCACCCCGCTTCCCCCCTGTTGCACATGATGTCCCTCTGCTTGGAATGCTTTTCCTCTCATGTCTCACTCCTTCACCTTCTTCAAGTCCTGTTGAAATGTCACCTTCTCAATAAGTCCTTCCCTGATCACCCTATTTAAGAATGCAATCACCCCCCCCCCCCTTGAATCTATTCCCCTTCCTTGTTTTATTCTTTCTCCAAAGCACTTAGTTGTTTGTTATTGTGTGTCTTCTTTCTGAGAATGAGTTTTGCCTGTCTTGTATCTTGCGGTATCCCTAACATCTAACACAGTGCCTGGCACATAGTAAATTCACTAAACATTTGTTGGATGAAAGATGAGTGATATTTACTCAAATATTTTGGTTTACCAGTTAATATAAAAGAACTAAAAGGGAGCATTTGATTGCTGGGAGCAGTAGTCTATTTCAGTTAGGAGAAACATGCTAAGGATTTTACTTTGGGGGGACATGCCATTTAAAAGAACAGAAAACTCTTGGCTTTTTTATAACAGTGACTAGTTAAGGAGCACAGCTTACTTTCTTCTGCCGTGTAGTTATAAAATACGATCTGCCTGTTCTACCCCAGACATTGAATTTGTTTTCTCTAGAATTTGCCTTTGGATATACGTTCCTTTGGAATAAGCTGCCGTAAGGACTGCTGATATTCTTTTATGATTTGTAGATTAGCTAAGTTATCTGGAGGTGCAATTTAAAAAATCACACATGGCATCATAAATATCAGACATGAGAAATCATCATTTGTTCTTTTCTTGACAGTAATATTTCACCTACAGGCAAGCTGAGAATGTTTTGGTAAGGAGACCTGTCGAAAAGAATTACTTTTGCTTTTCCTTTTGTATCATGTATGATACCACTAAGGCAAAGCTTGAGAAGATTTTATTTGTTAATTTATTGGGCATTTGGGGATAACTTATTATATTGCAAGTAATTTGGACCCTTCTTTTGCCTTGAATTTTCTTCATATACTTTTGTAGGTGAAGAGCTATCTTAAGAGATAGTATTAAAATCAACACAACTGAAAGAGTTTAGCCTTGTAAGGTGACTGATGCTTAATATGTTTACCTAATTAGCTTTTGGCTAAGGATTCAAACCCATTAAGTAGCTAGTTAGTCTATGTTTCAAATAAACACATCTGGCCCAACAATGAATGAAGGTTTTTCCTGTGTGACGGTGACAGATGTAGCGATGGTTCCCCCTGTTCTCTCACTTAAATAATTAACAACACGCTGGTGAAGTAACCCTAGACGGACAGCCTCAGAGCCAGATGCAAAGTCTCAGAGCTGGATCCATGGACCTGTCCCTTATCTCATTAGCCTGCTCTATCAGTTCCTTTCTCATCCTTAAGTGATTTCCAGAATTAGATTTTATTCGAGGATTACTCTTTTTAAAAATTAGGACTTATGGATTTTGATTTAAAAGAGCATTAACATGAAGGTGTTTCTTTGGGGACGTGAACTAAGAATGTGGCAGAGGACCCAGTAGCTGGGACATAGATCTGCATTTGGAAATTGATGTTATGCAATAAGCAAAAGATATCTGGGCAAGTTCTATCCAGGTATATCATTGTTGAACATTTTTGGAATGGGCTTTTGAAAAAGTTTGAGATAAATTTGTATTTACTAAATTTATATATGTATATAATGATATGTGTATATGTATATATATACATATACACACACACATACACGTATATATAAATATATATACTAGGATAGGGAAATCCCTGAGTGAGGATAATTAATAAGTGCTTAGCTAATAACCAAAAGTTGGGAGTTCAGATCCACCCAGTGGCACCTCAGAAGAAAGGCTTGGCTATCTACTACCAAAGAAGAATCAGCCATTGAAAACCCTATGGAGCACGGTTCTACTCTGACACACATGGGGTTGCCGTGAGTCAGAATAGACTCTTTGGCAACTAGTTTAGTTTTAATACTAGGATAAGACTAATATAAATTCTTACTATTTAAACAAAAAGAATGTAAGGGTGCAAGTACTGATGTTATTCTTCTCTATGTCTTTCATTGGACGCAACTTACTTAAAAACAAACATGCCATATACTTAAACAACTTGTATTACCAAGAAAAAATTCTAGATTGTGAAGAGTTCATTTCTACCAGTGGATTATTTGCATCAAAACGTCTTCTTTATGTTTGAATAGGATGAACTCTTGAAGTTCTTTGAATCCTCTTTAGTCCAGAGCAATAGCCTTACAGTTTGATGTACAGCTGTCACCAGTTATTATGATATAGGCTTATTTCCTGACCCTTGTTTTGTGAGACATTCACAATAGCACAGCTGCTCTGCAATAGTTGAGATCTCAAACCTGTAATTTGGCAAGAAGAACAGAACAAATTGGGTAAATATACATAAACACATTGTGAAGAAAGAAAAACAGAACAGAATGAACCAGAGCCTTATCCTACAGCTTGTTTGATAGAGATGATTTAAGGAGGCATATGGTATAGTTAAATGTGCTTTCAAAAACATTGGCCAGAATATTCTGGCAAATATGAAGTAAATATCTAAATCAGATGAAACTGATAGTATTAGTTCTTTTAAAAGGCAGTGTGGGAAGACTCTTGACAGAGTGTTTTAAATAAGAAGTGGTGGGA